CAGCGTTCTTCTAGTTTCTTCCTCTTTATGTGTTATTCCTTCACCTTATCTCCCCTTTCCTCTTATTTCTTCACCTCAATCTCTCTTTTCTCTCTTCCCTTGTCTATCCTCTTCTCTAATTTCTCTTCGCTCTGTTCGGTCCTACAATAGTCTATGCTGGAATATACATCTAACACAGCTCTTGCATACACACACACAAACAAGTATTACATATAATGTATCAAGAAAACTTGTGAAATTTTGATGAACTAGGATTTTTTTCACAGGAAAAGAAAAAATATCATTGAGAAGGATAAATAAAAACAATGGGATTAGACATCCTCTACCAAAAACAAAGAAAACAGATGAAAGGAAAGAGAGAGACACACACTAGCTAAACTCTAGAAAGAATAGTCAGTGAATCTCTATGCAAAACTGAAAGAGAGATTTCCTTAAACCATGGGACTTAGCCAAGTGAAAGCCAAAAAGCGACCTTTATCCACAAATAATCATCAAGGACACAAACCAGCTAAAATAGCCTAATACAAAGACATCTGAACTCCCTCCTCATTGCTAGAACTGTCAAAAACCGAAGAGAAGACTAAATACTCAAAAGTGAAAGTTCAGAGAAACCAAAATTTTCAGAAACCCAAGTCTAGATAGTCTAAGCTACATCACAATGCAAAAAAGTGATCATGAGTCTAGGCAGCTTTGTAAGACATCACACAAACCTCTAAAACCCAAGGCATAATTAGGTATGCAAAATTGAAGAGTATCATTAGTATTTAGCCTATGCAAAATCGACGTCCAAACAAAAACTTTCACCTTAAAAAGGTTTATGCTTCCATAAGAATTTAGAAATGGACATCTTCTTAGTAATAGGATTGGCAATCAAAAAATGTGGATAATGTTTACGAGAAAAAAATACCAGAGGAGTCCGACTAATCGATTCTGCAATAAAATTATTAGAGAAGACTACAGAATCCAACAAATGAAGGATATTAGTCATATCCATAGTCTTTCTAACATTAAGATTTACCAATAATAAAAAGTCCGAAAAATTGGTACCACCAAACCACAATAAAAATGGAGTCAGAATGTTGTTGATTTCGGGAATGCTTATAAAGTCTAGGGAAAAAGGAAGCAAGTGAAACATTGTGAACTCATGGCTCCTCCCAAAATGGAAAACAGAAACCATCCCCTACCTCCAACTTAAGTAAAGCTAAAAAAGAAGCACAAAGACTGGAAATCAACTTCCCGAATGTTGAGTAGCATATTTTATTATTTAATTATTTTATTAATTTATTGTTTAATTAGTTATGATTATGTAATTAGAATTTTACTATAATAGTAATCTCATGTAAATAAAATTTTAGTTAAATAGTGATTACTTTATAAGTAGATTAAAAATTTATAAATACCTCAAGTGTAACAATATTAAAGGTGAAAAATAAAATTATTATTTGTTTTCCAAAAATCAACATAGTATCAGAGCCAAATAAAATTATTTTAGGGTTCTAATTTCAAAGTTTCCTTCAAACCCTATAATAGCACAATAAGCTGAATTGGTACCCATTTATCTAGATCTACTCTCAACACCACCTTAGAAAACCATATCTGAGAGAGAGAGCCAAAGAAAAACAGATCACAGATCCTTCCTTGCACTCCCAACTGCCACCTGAAGGAGAAACAGAGGCGGCGGGCGGCAGATCAAACCAGAACGCGTGACAACAGCGGTGCAGCGAACAGATCTGCAATGTGAATTGCGTGGAAGGTGAATCCGACCGGTTCTGTCCGGATTTCCAAACAGAAGAAGCTGTGCGCAGCAGATCGTACGAAGAGGACAGATCCGCCCGAAGAAAGGGTCGAAGAAGAAAAATTGGAGGCGGATCCGCAAAGACCGTCCTTGTTTGCGCCCGAAACCAGAAAGCCGGAGAGAAAACGAGCAGCAGAGCTCATTGGAGAAGAAGACCGCGATATGCAGTTTTTCAGTGCGCTTTCACCAGAGTCGTGCTGGATCTGACGAGTTGTGAATTTCTGTGGCATTCCGGTGAGTTTGCGGCAGTATGTAGCAGTTTCTGGTGGTGGTGTGTTGCGGCGCATGGTGGTCTGGTGGCAGGGCATCCAGTGGCGCGTGAGAACTCATTGATATTTTGGTGGAGACTGAGCCGTTTTTGAGCTGAGTCAGAGCCGCTTTTGAACCAGGCTGAGCCATTTTGAGCTGGACAGAGTTGTTTTGAGCCGAGCCGAGATGCTGCCTGATGATAGATCTGGTTCCATTTTGCAGTATTTTTTTAAGCATCCTCTGACACTAGTAAATTACAGGATAGTTCTTTAGAACTTGGTATACAAGTTGGACATGTGTGATATCCGTACACCAACTTAAGGAGGAATATTGAGTAGCATATTTTATTATTTAATTATTTTATTGATTTATTATTTAATTAGTTATGACTATATAATTAGAATTCTACGACAATAGTAATCTCATATAATTAAAATTATAGTAGAACAATAATTAGCTTATTAGTAGATTGGCAATTTTATAAGTACCTTAAGTGTAACAACATTACGGGTGAGAAATAAAATTTTTTTTCTCCAAAATCAACATCGGGACTCTTACAAGTAATTGAAACACTGGCCTTGCAATCCCATTCGTTCTAGGAAGACCAAGTCTTATCCTGTGCCAAACAAATTCAGTTATAGAGGAAATCTCCATAACCATTTAGTTAAAAGATTCTTAATGCCAAAGCCACCATCCTCTTTAGTTGGACAATACTTCTCCCAACTAAGTAATCTCTCTTGAGCTTACTTGAACCTCACCAGAGGAAAGACTTCATCACTTTCGCAATTCTATACGCCACACCTCTAAGGATCTTAAAGAGAGACTAAAGAAAATAAAGGAAAATACTAGAGAGACAAGATTAAAGGAGAATAAGCATCCCCCAAGGGGGAAAAAAAGGCGCCCTTCAAGGTCTCCAGGCATGTAGAGATCTTGCACAGAATAGGGTCCCAAAACGAGCTGACCCTAGGATTCCCCTCTAAAGAAACACCATGATAAATTGAGTTGCTAACAACCTTGTAATTGAGGTTGTGACAACTCTATGATTATGATTTTAAAAAAAAGGAACACCATGATATATAAAAGGTCACTCCAGAACTTGGCATCCCACAAAATCAGCTAGTTCCCTCAGAAGCTGATTCTTGATGTCAATATCTGTCAGTCCACTCTTCATGAGATTAATCTTCAATCCTGAAATAACCTCAAAAATGAGCAAATTGGTAATTTCGTACAAAAATTTCCCTAGATAGTAAGTAAACAACAAGATCGTCTCATTAACAAACTAAAAGTGAGAAACCTCAACTCTATCAAATCGGACTCAAAGGCCCTCTAAAATCCCTCTCCCCGACCCTCTTTTAAGCACTAGTCTCAAAATATCAACAACAATTGCGAAAAGAAATGGAGATTGAGGATCTCATTATCTCTAACCATGCTGCCAATATAAACAACCTATAGCCTTGCCATTGATTAAAATAGTTAAAGAATCAGAGGAAAGAAAACCCATAATCCACCTTCTCCATTTATCAATGAAACCCTTCCTCTCCAAGAATTTCTCAAGGAAAACCCAATTCACGCAATCATACACCTTCACAAAATCCAACTTGCGAACTAACTTAGCATATCGCAATCTTCTAACATCTTCCACCACCTCCAGGATGCATCCATAGTTTTCCTACTCCCGCAAAAGCACTATAGTTCTCATTCAATACCTCAATTAACATTTGGGGAAGAACTTTGGGAATAATTTTGTACACATACTGATCAGACTAAAAAATCAAAAATCAGACACCTTCATGGACCACTCTTTCTTAGGTATAAAAGTAATAAAGAGGAATTTCATAGTAAAGTGAATCTTTCATTGAGATAAAATTCATCGAAAACATTTGAATGTCATCTTTAACAATATCCCAACATTGTTGAAAGAAAACAAATGTAAAACCATTTGGACCTGGAGCCTTATTAGTACTGAGGTCCCATACCATCCACTTAATTTCAATTTCCTCTAAAGATCTCTCCATCCACCTGGCTCTGTACACACCAATTATACCCCAATCAAGTGGACAAATAATGCAATCTTTCCCATAGAGCTTTGTAAAACTTAGTAATAACCATCTCAATATCCCTTGATCTCCCTAAATTCTTACCATCATCCAATTCTAATTCCTTGACAATTCTCCTCTTACTATCTGATGGAAAAATCTTGAGTCGGAATTGCCATTTCTTAATCCATTTCATCTTATATTCGTCTCCACTAATGTCCTCCTTAATAAGCACTTCTTCAAAATCAATCTTATGACAGCATAAACTGGCATGTTGCTCCTTGGTGCTTA